CTTACCCCCTCAAATGTTTCTATTTGATGTAAAAAAAATCCTCGCCAAACATGAGCCCTACAGCTCAAATCTAAGGGGTCGCTATTTTTATTTTAGTTTCGCATTTAATTAACATACGAAAACCTTGTTTGTTTTAAATTGAATTTACACATAATTTACGCAATTGTATCCAAAAAACCGTTTCATATTCTCAAAGTTGAGTCTTTGAGCTTTACAAAACTCTAAGACAAAGTATGATTATCTTTACAAATTCCCAAACTGTACCAAAACAACACTTGCCACTGCAGAATAAATCAAATTAATAACGTATCGGAAAGGCGTATTTTTCTTAACTGCTATAGTGTGCTCTAATTATCATTAATAAAAAACTATTAACTAGAATGAACATGTTCAATTTTTTTGTTGGATAATTAATATAAACTATATATATATATATATATAATAAACGCGACCGCTAACAACGGCACGGTGTGAGGTTACTAATAGTTTGGGAGCACATTAAAACACGTAAAATTAAAAAAGTGTATGCAATAATGGTGTAATTTTACCTTTTTTCACACCCTTTAAGTAGATATGCCACGCCTTTTCGTCTTTTAAAATAACAAATTTCCTATCGAATACAGTACCTACCTATAATTCGTTAAAATTCGCGGTTATGGTAAAACATTTTTTCTTTTTTATTCTGAACATTTTTTTTTTTAATATTATACTTTCTGCTAAGTAAATCAACGCATACCAATGCCATTTTGTTCGTATAATTATCTATTATCAATTTTTTAAAAAAAATTACAATTGCGCGAGACGGTTCTTTCAATGTCACCGGCTCCTACAGCGTGTAGCAAATAGTCCAGGACCGGCGTTTATCGCTTACCCAAATTACGAAGAAAGTATTGGTCATATTTTATCAATTTCGATAGCATTAAATTTATACCTTAATAATTATATTGCTACACTGGTTAAATAGGTGGTAGTAGGGTATTCAATGTTTTTTTATGTAATACGGTTGACTCTCGTTAATTCAAACCTGCGGTAATTCGAACCTTTCTATAATTCGAAATTATCAGGAGTTCCCTACAAAATCTCTTTATATTTCGAACTAAATCAAAACATTTTTATGCACGAAAAAAATCATTGCTACGTAACAAAATGACGCGTTAATTCGAACTCATCGACGTCAAACACTCTACAATTCAAAGTTGCAGAAAAAAAGAGACAGAAAGATTGTAAGTACATACATACATTTTGAGGCAATTTCAAACATGTATGATCGTATCATCGAGCTTTTGTTTTTCTTATAATTAGTTTGACACACACTTCCGCATGAATTGGTTTGTTTTATTTTAGTTATTTTCTCTCAAAAATTTCGAACCATTTGATATTTCAAACACTCGATAATTCGTAATCTCGTCCCTCGAGTTTCGAATTAACGAGAGTCGACTCTAAATGAAAATTTAGGACTTGAGGAAAGGTGATCAGCTATTAATTACTAAATTTTTTATCTTTATTATCCACGAAGTACTATATGCTTCAACTGTCTTACTCCAAAACTGGGTTATTCTTATGGTCTTTTTCATATTCATAATTTTATATTTCAAAATGCTATCTTTGGCTTAATCTTTTCCGATGGAATACTTCTTACTTAGTAAATATTATCCGATTTGCGTCTAAAAGACATAACACCTCAGCAATCACGTTGTAATTCCCACGACTTCCCTCTCGGGCTTCTTTTTCAAATATATATGTCGAACGAACAGTTTGGAACATTAACATTGTTAAATATCTCTCGCTCGTTCTCATGAAGAATGTAAACGATATTGACGTTTTAGAACAAAGACGAACTGAGCAAATTTAACGTTTCCTTTAGATTTTCTTCTTTCACTTAAGACTTTAATTGCAGACTGAAGAGGAATTGAAAGGATTTATAACAGTGATAAAAACAGTTCCTTTATTCAACGAGATTAGAAAATACCTACGCTTTACGAACGCGATATCAAAAAAGACATAAATTAAAGTTTTGACAACTAAACAGAAAACATACTTATCTCTTTATTTATCGACAGAGGATAAAAATTGTACAAGAAGGAATATGAAATAAGAAAAATCCTGCTACAAAAACCATCGTGAATTAGGATTTTTTTTTATTTACTGGGAAATTTCTGAAGAATTAGAATGTTTAATTTTTAGATTTTAACTATTATTAAGTAGGTATGCAACAAACTACTTGTTGCGTAGCAATAGATTTGAGTCCGTTGTAAACAATGTTTTTTACTTTTTCACAATTTTTCTGTCAGAATTAATTAATTTTTATCTTTTATGCATCCGTTACTTTTTAAATGTCTATAATTGTTTTTGTTACATTTATTAGTCTATTAGTTCAAGTGTCGTGTTTTGAATTCGGTCGTTTAATGTTAATAAACATCCCTACACATACCTATCGAGTTTTTATCTTTATCGAGACATTTAGTGCCACCAAAAAGTGCATTCATATATGTGGTCAAACCAAGGCGACAACATTTTTGGTCCTTCGAGCCGGATTTAAATCAGCGACCTATAGCGGCGTCTTTACTTTATATCTTATTTTGTCGAATGGCTAACATTCTTAGAAATAAGGACAATTTTAAGGGACAATAACCCTTATTGAGTTTATCTTTGCATCTGAAATTCAATAAAAATGTTGTACTATCTGCGCACCTCCCATATTGCGATAAAGTAGTGGAATTCGTTTAAATAATCCTTCTGAAAGTTTTCAAACTATTTTGAGTTTTGTAGGTACAGGCACATAACAGAATATAAAACGTATTTTGTTTGAATGGTGCCATAAAGTTGTAATTGTACTTAGGAATGAGCAACGACTGTCTATTGTTGGCAGTTTTATTGCATGAGCCGTCACTTTAGATGGCTTAGAATTTAGGTATGTAATTAGAAAAAAGAATATCTCAAAAAAGACGTTTGCAAGAGACGATTATGTTTTGATCCTATAATTTTATAGGCCACTAATTTTCAATTAACCTAAATAAAACTTTATCTTATTCAAAATTTAATTGTTTATGCTTCCCTTTTTGAAAATGGAGTTGACACGGGTACTTTTATGCCATAGAAGAATCAAAGATCAAAGTTCTAACCCTCTTCTTGAATATTCAAACTTAACAGTCTAAATTACTATGGGACTAATAATAGTGATGTTAGCATAGAATTCGAAAGAATTAAAAGTGTTTATTAAATAAAATGAAATACAAAATGAACATATCATAAGTTCGTACAAATTCGATCCTCTACAACCGCTGTCTTCGAGAACTGATTCAACTCTCCCCCGCAAGACTGACCGTAATGTTTTTGAGACCCTCGGTCAAGTATACCCTCTCTGTCTCTCTTTACCCCAACGTTGCACGTGTCAATTTTTGTCACTTTCTCACGGTACCTTCAGTCAGCTAATAAAACCGTACGGTTGGAGAGGACGCAGTAGTTTTCTTAAAGTTTATTGCTTAAAAATATTTTGCTTCTTATTCTAAACATACGGATAACAATTACTTAATCCCTTAAAATTACAAACTATTCCTAAATTACTTTAAGCCTACCATAAACTAAAAAGCACGCATTCCCGATACTACATTACAATGTTACAAACTTGTTGTTACTGTTGGCATTCTTACTATGCAACGATAGTTGGTGTGCGCCACGCTTTTAGTTTTTTCAATGGTCTTTAGGGGTTTTCCATAACCGTCATAGTCTGCCTGAGGGGGAGAGGTCTGACAAAAAATTACGTTAAACCACGTGGGGAGAGAAGGTCCAAGTCAAAGTGTGTATTTTTTTTTAAATACCGCGCGTTTCAAGTTAAGACTCACGCTACCTCTCGGAGAATGAAGCGCATGAGATCTACAACGTTACTTTGTTTACGATTAGTTGTTTGTGTCTTATAATTCATGATTTAAATGAGTCTCACCATTTGTATCTGTTGATGACATAAGTTAAAAAAGAAAATAATAAAATTGATTTTATTTTTTTTGTATTAGGAAAGGAAGTCCAAAATTTCCCATACGTTTACAAAACTACTCGAATTTTGAATCGAATATTATCTATTATTCGATTCGAATTTTTAATTCAATATTCTGTTTTTGAATATTCAACAATATCTAATTTTTATTTTTTTTATTAATTATTCGAATTTTCCGAATTTTTTCTCTAGAATTTTCATTATTTTTAATTTTTTCGTAGCTGATAATTACATTAAATAACGAATAATTCGAAAACAACAAACAGGCTTAATGACTTTTTATATCCCTACCACAATTTATTTTGAGCACGTACAAATAAACTACATAAATTAGTAATCCATTGCAATAATTATTCACAGGTTACCTCTTTTTACATATATATTTATTCCTATCAATCAACTCGTAACATAATTTCCGATATAAGTACTCAACCTGCTGGAGGGTACTCAAATACACTCATTCCTAACTCTCTTGAGTCTAATAAAATCGACGCCTGATTAAAAGCTCTGAAGCACAGTTTTCCAAACAGTTGCAATAGCATTAATTGTTCGAGTTTATAATGCTTTACTATGCATATTGTAATGAGTTAAAATTATAAATTCAATTCACTGCCTGCACAATAACAACGTCAATAACGTATCATCGCTGTAATATCACGTACCAGATTACAGAAATTTGTATTTCTATTGACTGAGAGAGCTATTGATTTACGAACTGTTATTATGTATTGTTGCGTAATTTTCTTCTCTCTTACGTATTATTCTCATCGCCTTGGTGAAAATTATTTACTTGATGTATGAAAAGTAGGTAAAAGTAATTAATCC